AAAAAAATTGTAATCTGTGACGCGTCATTTAATCACGTGAAAAGTTACCGAAATGTGAAAAATGTCTGTCAAATTCAAAACGTGCAATCTCAACCAGAAAGTCATTTATTAGTGATTACTTTTAAAGATAATTAATAAATTAATTGAAAATTCAGAAAATTCAGAATCACCATAATATCCTAGAAATAAAATGATTCCTCAATGTTAAATTATAAAAAATTCCAGTTATTTTACTGGAAACTTTCAGCGTAATTTCCCAACAGCGCAGATTAATTCCAGATATAAAAAAATCCAGAATAAAAAAAAAAAGTAAAAATAAACTGGAGAAACATGATAGATTCAGCGGAATATTAATGTTTAAAAAATTGCTGTTTCCGTAGAACACCCATATGTTGTTGCAAAACGAAAAAAAAAACGAAAAAAATAGATAAAAATCCTCAAATTTATTAATAAAAAAATCATGATAATGACGATATTGGCTGCATTTCATGTGGCAATGGCATAACAAACAATTTGCATTTTTCAGCATTTGCTCCACCGCTTTTGTATTGTTTAAAATTTCATCACTAGTCGAATCGAACTATTAATTTTTGTTTCGCTCACAAGCTTATAACAAATATATATTGCTCTTATCCACTTTTTATCTATTACATTTAGGAAAATTACAGCCTAATTAGATAATATATGGATTACTCTTACAATTCTATAAAGAATTTAATGTTGACAAAATAATAATAATGATATTAATAATAAGACTCTTTCCGTAGAGTTGGCGTCACATCACTACCGTAAAATACGTTATTCTCTGCTATTTCATTATCAACTGCTCTAAATAATCTATACTGATATAATTATTATGCATTTGTGTGCTTGAACGACGGATCTCTCGAGATGATTCTTGGGTTTTTCATAATTTTACACTTAAATTCCATCAGGAACAACTAGAAAAGGGACTAAACAAGCGGTGAGATCCACAAATAGAGTTTGTTCAAACATTTGTTTATTATTTTTTTTCATATTTTTATGTTGTCGCTTTTGTTTAAAAATATTAAAATCTCAGTCGCGGTATAGATCCGGAAGAACCCAAAAATATCATTACATGCGCTTTTTTCGTCGACAATTGATTGATCGATTGAAATAAACGCACTGATCATCATTTTCTCCTAAATAGAGCGTATCATATTTCATCACTTAAATTTTATTTTTCGCAATAACACGATTGAATCTCTGGTATTCCAAATTTCAAGCGATCGTAAAGACTCGGAAGGAAAAAAAAACATAAATATCAATCAAAATATAAAAAAATAAATTTCGATGTGTAGCGGTGTGCAGTCAAATATTATTAATAATATTTATTAATTTTTCTAATTGTCCGTAAAAATCGAATGTCTGGGTGATAATAATTTCCACTGAATAACTCGACGTAATTCTGTTGCTCATGTTTTTTTTAATAAAGTATCTCTTTAAATATAAAGACATGAAATTATTAATCAACAATAAGATATTTTGATTGAATAGCGAGAGATTATTAATCAAAAACGATAAAAATTATTGGAATACCGAGGAAAAACATCATATTATGGAAAATTCACCTAAAACGATTTTACGTTATAATTAAAAACTAACTATAGTATAATGCAATCTATGCATATAATATTCAAAAAGATGACAATGATAATTATGTATTTCCAATGATAATGCTGATGATCATCATTCGTTAATAATTATGAATAACGTAAATGGCGAATATAATAATGACAATAATAACAGTGAGATTAAAAATTACTATCGTTAAAATGAATTTTAGTTTTTTTTTTATAAATTAACTACTTTATATGTCTTTATCTGATACGTGCGAGAACGTGAGTCTGCTCGAGCTCCAGGAGCTGCAATTTATCGAGACTTGTACATTTAGTCAGTCACCAATTCGTTCTGTTTTTATTAATCTTTATTACAATCATTAACTATAAACTACCTGACGTTTTTCCTCTCATTTTTTCAATTTTCATTTATTATTATTTTCATATTCTTTTTGATTATTCAATTAGTAATAATTAGTGGCAATCTTGGAACTCGGCGTCGCTCCGCCGTAACTCCAAAAAAATTGCATTCTTTATTACAATCGATATGAGATCGTTCTGGTATGATTTATCCCGGCCATAGATACCCACGCCTTGTATAATACAATAATTATTTTCACAATTATTTATTTTCATTACCAATTTTCCGCCTCTCTTATTTCT